CCACCACAGGGGCCCTGTCCCCAAATACTCCACGTGCGCTAAGCCCACCCAGGAGACATGCCCCAGCACTGAGGGCAGGGACACCTCCTCAGTGAAGCCCTCTGTAGGTCCTGTCCCTGGTTGTTGGCACCTGGACAGGAAGGAAGGGACAGCGGCTACCACCAGGTAGCCAGCCTTACTCCCCACCCCTCCTGTTTCTGTGGGAGGGGAGGCAGTGAGCTCCCTGGACATTGGCTTAACACTCCCAGGCTGAGAAGGGCTGGGCGCCTGGGGAAGACAGCGCCTCCTCTGCTCTCTGCCTCTCAGCAGGCACGCGGGAGGGGGCACATGGGCAGCGCAGGCCTCAGAGCAACCAGCCTCAGGCCCTAGGCTGTGTCCCAAAGGCCTCGGACGGGGTTGGTGCTGCCCTTGGCCAGCTGGACTCTGACGCCATCCTGACCTCCAACCTTCCTGCCCATACAGACCCCAGTGTCAGGGTTCCAGTGAAGGCCTCTCCCAGCCTCCCTGCTCCCCCACCCCTCACCCCACAGACCCACAGTCTGAGGACACGGCAGACCCATCCTCCCCTCCTCAAAACTCTCAGGAAAGCCAGAGACAGTGTCCTGGGAACAGTGGACCAGCTGCCCCTGGAGGCCCCTCCCTCCCCTGAGGCTCTTGGCCCCCACACACTCACAGGGCCTCTCCTACCTCTGTGGTTTCAGCACAAGCGTCCATCTCGGCGAGGACTACGGGTTGTCTCTGCCCTCTCCCAGGCACTCCTCATCTCTGGATAAATTGCACGCTGCACGTGGTACTTCGTTACCTTGTTTAATACCTCCCCCACTGAAAGGTCGGCCCCAGGAAAGCAGGAGTTTTCCCCTCCCTGTTCACCACTCTGTTCCTGGACAGACACCTGCAGGGCAGATGAATGACCCTGGGCTCAGGGCTAGGATATTTGCCAGATGGTTGAGCGGAGGCCCCTGTGGGACCCCAGTCTGGCTGCCCCAGGCCCCTCCCACCCACCCTGAGCACAGGGAGGTCAGAAACCATCAGGAACCCCCAAGCCATGACCTCCCCCAGAGAGAGCTTGGTGCCCACCAGTGCTAACGGAGAGAGAGGTGGCTGGGCACCTACGGGCAGGGCCAGGAGTCCTGAATTGACACGTCTGAAAAGGCCCCTCTTGGTTTTACAAATATAGAGTTCTCGCTCTGCTTCCCTGGAGATGGGACCTGAATCGCCTGCCTCTATGCAGCAAGCTAGGCCTCCCAGCTACCCACTTAGCGGCAGCCGGGGCCCAGGCACTTACCCCTGCTGGGCGTGTCCTCTGAACGAGTGCGCCCGGAGAGTGGGACAGTGGACAGGCCTGGAATCCAGCCTGCAGGGCAGAGAGCCTGCCCCCTGCATCAGGCCAGCCTGACGGAGCTGAGGTGGCCAAATACACACAGAGGCACACAGGTGAGCGAGCAAGGCTCGCCAGCCTGAGTGTGTGCACGTGTGTCTGGATAAGTGTGTGTCTAACTGTATGCATCTGCAGTGTCTGTGTGTCTGCCTGTGTCTGCGTGTATGGTGTGCATGTGTGTGTGTGTGACAATTGTCAGGGTCAGCTAGAAGGTGGTGCCAAACCAGGTGAATGACACAACTGTCACTCTTGCTTGCTTGTGCCTTACAGTCTGGGTCCTGGCTCTCACTGCCTGCCAGCCCCCTGGGCAGGGCCAGTCACCGCCTGGGGACGGGGGGCTCACTGGGCTGCTGGGATCTGCTTCTCCCCACAGCGAGCACTGCACGAGACAGCCCGTGAATGCACACTCAGGCCACGCAGACTCACACGTGCTACACCCGACCCTGGCCCCTCCCCTCCACCACCTGCTCCACAGCCTGAATGTCCTCATGGGCTGACTGCAAACCTGAAAATGGAACTGCTCTCCACAGAGCAACATTCACACAATGCCTGGCCCGTGGGCAGACAAAGGCCCTGCTGCCCCAAGGGCGGAGGACGAGGTGGGCGAGGGGCATCTGCGGATCCCCACACCCGCAGGCCTGGCGTCAGCCCCTCCTCAGCCCCCTGAGCCCTGCTGCCCTGGGCCCCCCTCCTCCCTCCACTTCGATGTGACAGGCTGGGCAGGGAGCCAGGCAGCCCTCAGGACAGGCTAGGAACAGCAGAGATGAGACTTCCCAGTCTGACACTGCGGGGTGAGCCAGGTCTGGAGAAAGTCTGGGGGTGGCATCTGGTGTCCTGCCGCGCTGGGACAAAGAGCAGGAGGGGCCTAAGGGCGAAGAGCCCCCACCCCAGGCCCGTGTTCAGGGGGGACTAGTAAGTTACGTGCTGGCTGGCGGGCAGACAGAGCTCTGGCCACCCCCGCCAAGATGCTCAGGATATGGGAACCCTCCCCAGCATCCATCCCCCGGGAGGCCCACAACCAGGCCCAGAGGGGTAAGCCCTGCCCCACATTCGGGACACAGCTGAGTGACAGGAGGCCTGGGCCACTCCCTACAGGTCCAGCACCTGGCTGTGGTCAGCCATTCCCTCCCCAGCCCAGCCCGGCCCACAAGCCTGCCCACATGCAGGCCGCACGATCAAGGGGGACAGGCAGCCCGTACACCAGACTTCATCTGCTCTCTGTCCTGTCTCTGGGGTCCAGGACCTGTGAACTGACCCAGGACCCCTCCCACCCCTGAAAAACCCCCAAATCACGAAATTCAGCCCTAAATTCAGGGGCCTCTCCTAACACTTGCTGACTGCCCATCCCCTGGCCTCACTGGGCCTCAGCCTGGGGCACCAATGACCAGTCCAGAACCTGCCCCATCCAGACCAAAGGGCGGCTCCCTCCCTCCCAGGCTCACGGGTTCTCAGAAGCAAGACCAGGAGAGCAGTGTCCAGCCAGTCACCCCGCTTCTCATCAAGAATTTCCTCATTCAAATCTACAAGGTCTGCGGTGCTCCTACGGGACAGTGAAGGTCCCCAGGGAAGTCCTGGCCGCAGTGCCCCACACACACCAGAAATGAAAGCCTGTGTATAAAGACCACTTGAAGGCACGGAGTTTTTGGGGAACCAGGGGCGTGGAGGGTCACTCCTGGGGGAGGCCCACTGGATGAAGGCTCAGCCCTGGTGGGTAGCTGGAGCTCTGGGCCAAGGCTCACAGCCCTCAGCCTCCCAGAGCCAGCAGGGCACACCCTAACTCTGTCATGCCCACCTCTGGGCCCACAGAAGGGGAGGCCAGCGCCCCTGGACGCAGCCTTAGGCCTGGTGACTTCAGGGTGCCTGGGAAAGTGCCCGGGCTCCTGTCCTGGCCCAGGCCACAGGCAGAGGGACCACAACTCTAGTGAAGGAAGCAGGTCTGTGTGGGCAGTGAACAGCCATGTCTCCCCAGGCTGGAAGCACACAGACCCTCTGACCTGGAAGTCCTCTTGAGTTGCTGCCCGAAAAGGGCGCGAGACACTGTCACTAGCTGCTGCGTCACCTGCAAAAGCACAGCCAGAGACAGCCCAGCCGTCCACCCACGGGGGTTATATACGTCATGTGTGTCCAGTAGACCGAGAAAACGCGGAGCTGGGCAGGAAAGTGAAGACTGAGTGCAGAGTGAAATGCGTTCTCACCACCAGCACAGAGTTCTTGGAGAGCGCGGTGGCAGCGGGACCAAGGGAGGGTCTTCCACCACTTGTGTGAGTTTTTACATGTACGAGCTCCTCTTTCAGAAAAAGAAAAAAGAAGTTGGCTTGTATGTGGGCCACAGGTTCTGAATCCACATGAAGGCATACAGAGCCGCCGACCACCACACCCAGACAGGGAGCTACACAGATCCCCCCCAGACAGAGGTACAGAGCTCACCACAGAAACTGCACGCAGATACACGTGCATACACGTGTACACAGGAACACACACATGCACACGCATGCACACTCACAAGGTCCTCCAAGAAACCCACACACGCAGATAACCGTGCCCAGGTCCATAGAGACCCACGGACAGAGGCCCAAATGTGTTCAGTGGAGCCCGCAGGCTGCCCCCTAGCCCGGGCTCACCCAGAGGCTCCTGCACTGCATGCCTCCCAACACAGGCACACTCATGCACAGACACACACCAGGGCTGCCCACTAGAGAGTCCAGCCAGGCAAGTGAGCTCGGCAGCAGCCCTGGGGATGACTGCAGCGCCGCCTCAGCTCCCGCCCCCTTCCTCCCGGCTCCACGTCAGCCAGTGGGACCCGCCTCCCTCCCTCACTCGCAATAGCGCTGCCACCAGGCTGGAGACCTTGGGAGGGAAGCCAGTTCCCGCTGAGCTGCAGAGCTGCTGGCTGGCGAGCAGGTCCTAGAAGGCCCCCAGGGGGTTGAGAGCGGATTGGAGGGGGCCTGTCGGTGGAGGCCACACCTCCTGCCACTCCTGCCACCTCCACCCCTGCCACTGCCTGATCTGGCCGCCGCCACATGCCCACCAAGGCCACCAACTTCTGGTCACGTGTCTCCAGACAGGTCAGTGAGGGAAACAGCAGGTAGCCACACACAGAGGGTCTGCTGTGTGACTGGGAGGGCACCTCTCCAGGACTCCAGGTTTCCAAGGTGGGCGGGGATATGCTGGAAGGTGCATTTTCAAAAGGGCTGTCTTAACTTTCTGTAGCTTGTGCTCTGGGATGTGGCCGGGACAGGGGCTGGGGGGAGGAATCTAAGCCCTCCCTTCCCTGAAGGGTGGTCAGCAGCTGCTCTCTGCAGATGGAGGGGGCCGGGGAAGGAAACTGACCAGTCAAAAATGCTGCCCTGGAGGAGGCCCCCATGCACTCCACCAGGCTCTCTCTGGTCACTGGACAGGGATGGATGGAGAGAGACTCCATGCGTCCCTGACCCTGGCAAAGTGACCTAAGCCTCTGCCAGAGAACTTGAGGCAGCTGCTATTCTAAGCTGACAGCCAGATCCCAAAGTTTCTGGTTGTTTCTTTCTCAGAATCCAGCCCAAGGAGGCCCCTGCCCAGATCCCTGGCTCTGAAGCACCTCTCACTAGCCCAGGGCACAGCTTAGTAACAGCCCCAACTCACAATGGAAGCCAGTGGGCTGGAGGGTCTGGACAGCAGAGCCTCCCCCTTCGCAGGCATGCCAGGCACCGGCCTCTCTTGGGACAATGACACCAGACACAACATCACCTTTCCAGAGCCCCTGCCAGCCCTCTACGTGCTCCTGCCAGTAGTGTACTCTGTCATCTGTGCTGTGGGGCTGATGGGCAACACGATTGTCATCTGTGTGATCCTAAGGGCGCCCAAGATGAAGACCGTGACGCACGTGTTCATCCTGAACCTGGCCGTCGCCGACGGGCTCTTCACACTGGTCCTGCCAGCCAACATCACCGAGCATGTGCTGCAGCGCTGGCCCTTCGGGGAGCTGCTCTGCAAGCTAGTGCTGGCCATCGACCACTGCAACATCTTCTCCAGCGTCTACTTCCTGGCTGCCATGAGCGTGGACCGCTACCTGGTGGTGCTGGCCACGGCACGCTCCCGCCGCGTGCCCCGGCGCACCCTCCGGGGGGCAAAGATTGCCAGCCTGTGCGTCTGGCTGGGCGTCACCGTGGCAGTGCTGCCTTTCTTCACCTTTGCCGGTGTCTACAGCAACGAGCTGCAGGTCACGAGCTGCGGGCTGAGCTTCCCGCGGCCAGAGCGCGCCTGGTTCCAGGCGAGCCGCATCTATACGCTGGTCCTTGGCTTCGCGGTGCCCATGTGCACCCTCTGTGTGCTCTATGTGGACCTGCTGCGGCGGCTGCGAGCCCTGCGGCTCCACTCTGGGGCCAAAGCTCTAGGCAAGGCCAGGAGGAAGGTGACCATCCTGGTCCTGGCCGTGCTGGCTGTGGGCCTGCTCTGCTGGGCGCCCTTCCACCTGGCCTCTGTCGTGGCCCTGGCCACAGACCTGCCCCAGACACCACTGGTCATCACTGTCTCCTACGTCATCACCAGCCTCAGCTATGCCAGCTCCTGCCTCAACCCCTTCCTCTACGCCTTCCTGGACAACACCTTTCGGAAGAACCTCCGTGCCATGTTCCGGTGCCCAGGGCCGTGAGCACCCCTCCTGCCATGACCCAGACTTCGTGAAAAGCACTGTCCTGTTCAAGGAATATCCCACTTGTTCACATCCTGTCACTGTCTTCTCTAGGCAGAGAGATAAAGACTCACAAAAGTTGGCCATTGGACCTGCAGAGATGACATGGACTTAACACATGTCTCTGCCCCCTGGACAGCCCCTGGGTGGTCAGCTGCAGGGATTCAGGTCCTGGCCCCCCATGCTGCCTGCAGACCCAGACAGAAGATCCAGCACCAAGACATCCTGGCCATATGCAGCCACAGAGGGACAGACCACCTCCCTGGTCAGCTCCTTCATCCTCCCTGACGTCCGCAATCTGGAGGAGAGAAGCCCGAGCTGTGGTCTCGCCCTGGGGCCGGCTCTGCATCCTACCATCAGGGTCCCTTGGGTTCCTCTTGACACAGGACTGGGAGTGACAAAAGTGGGACCCCTGGGGCAGCAAAGGCAGGCGCCACTGAAAAGACAAAGACGCCCATCCACTGAGGCCACGAAGTGCACTCTCACAGCCGAAACTCAGGTGATGTTTTGCCAGGAGGCCTGTGCCCACATCCCCTCCTGGCTCCTTGAGTGAGGCCCAGGCCCCCTTGTGCCCTCCAAGCCGTTGCCTGTGGCCCCGTCCTGCTATAGGACCCAGGGCCCTTCTGCCAGGACCTCTGGACCCCCACAGTCCAGAGGAAGCATCTGTCACTCGACAGGCTGGCATCTGGACCCCTTCCTCCCTGGCTTGTGTGTGGCCTGGGGCCTAGACTCAGATGGCAGGGCCTCCACGCCAGGCCTCCAGGGGTTGGGCAGGGCACTGAGATGCCGGCTGTTCAGAGACCGCTTTCTGCCACTTGGGAGGGGCAAGGGGCAGGCCCCTGAAGACCACCTTGGTGGGGCTCTGCCAGGCCCCCTGCTCTTGGCCCCATGGCTCCCAGTGGCTTCCAAACCCGGAGCTCCAGCTGTGCTGTCCCGTGAGCCACCTGCCCAGCATCCAGTAACCCTTCTAAGCTTACGGGGCCCCTGGTTGGTTTCAGTCCTTGTGACACGGCTCTGGCCAGTCTGTCCAGATGACAAGCAGGACCCATCTTTCACCACCAGGTGAGGTGGCCCCCACGGCGCATGGCCGCCTCCCCTACCCAATGGCTCAGGCCCATATCACTCTCCCTCCTCGCTCCCAGCCTGAAACAACTCAGACACTGCCTCCATCCTGTTATCTTCCCAACAACAACCTATTAGCAAGCTACTGCAGTATAACAAATTTCCCCCCAACTCAGAGCTCAGAACGACATTTCCTATCTCCCAGCTCCTGTCCATCAGGAATCTTAGAGCAACTCTCCGCTGCCTCTGGCTCAGGGTCTCTGTGAGATTTCAGTCAGGACCCCGGCCAAGGCCTCAGTCACCTGAAGGCTGGACTGGGGCTGGAGAAGCCGGTCCACCACATGGCCACTGGCAGCAGGCCTCAGCTCCTCACCCCGTGGACTGTCCACAGGGCTGCTTGGGCGTCTGCAGGACAGAGCACAGGTCCCCAGGGCAGCATCGGACAGAGAGCAGGGGAGCCTCAACACCTCTCAAGGCCTAACTCTGAAGCCACTCAGCCACAGCCTGCTCCTCAGAAGCAGCCCCCAAGGCCAGCCCACACTCAGGGGCTGTGGGCACTTAAACCCCCACCTGCAGCTGCTTCTCTCCCAGGAAGAACTGGCTGTTCCTGCCGCGCAGCAGTCACACCTCTCCCAGCAGCAGCCATAATTACCCTGTCAGCGCTCATCCTGTGCCCTGAGAGCTCCTTGAGGGGAGAAGTAGCGACTCCCACACCCCAGCTACGCCCGCAGCGGGCCCAGCGCAGCGAGGTGTAAATGCGCGCGGTGCAAACGCGGCGCGAGCAGGCGCCGAGCAGCGGGGGCCGAGACGCCTCCGGGAACGCCGGAGGAGGGGCGCCGGGCCAGGGCAAGTCTCCCACCCTGTCCCCAGTGTGCCATCTGGCCCCAGCAGAACATCCCTACAGCACAGAAGGTGCCGACCAAGGCTCCTCATTAGACCCCACACCCTTTATTCCGCGGGGTGGCTGCTGCCCCATCTGTAGCCTAGCAGTCGTGCACTGGGAACACCGAGGCAGATCAGGCACAGACCCCCGCCCACCCCGACATCCGAGAGGGCGGGTACCCCCGCAAAAGCCCAAGGGTGAGGGAGCCAAGATGGAGGAGAGAGGCGAAGCCTCACCAGGATCCTGCCCTAGTGAGTTGCAGACCCCGAGGAAAATGCCCCGCCTTCACCGTGACTTCCAGACATGAGGTGGGGAGCGGGCAGCGAGTGTCTCCTTGCTCTGGGCTCCTGGTCCCAGGGAAAGCTGGCGCTCTACTTCCAGTTCCCAAATCTCACGGACATTGTCCCGGACCCGGGCCCAGCACCGCCCAGCACCGCCCAGCACCGCCCAGCGCGGCCCAGCGCGGCCCCTGGGCGGGGTCTCCCGCGGGCCACGGCGCCCCTGGTGGGCAAAGTCCAAAGCGCAGGTGAGCCGGCGGTTTCCCTGAGGCCGAGGGATCCGCTGACCCCTTCCCATCGCTCGGCCTTCCCCAGCAACCCCGCAAGGGAGGTTCAGTGTCCCCTTCGCTCAAGAGAGGAAACCGAGGATCAGAGAAGCCGGGGAACTTGACCCAACCCAGCTAGTGGGGGCGGCGCAGGGGGCTAGGGGCGAGGACGGAGACGAGGGCGGGGCCTGGAGGGGCGGGGCCGGAGGCGGGAACCGTGGGATCCGCGCGCAGATGCGGAGAGGGAGCGAGCCGTGGTCCTGCTTCCCAGGTCCCCGGGTTGCTGGCTGGCCCCTCAGCCCAGCCTGGACAGAGACGAGCGCAGACACTTGCTGTGGGGTCGGCCTGGTCGGTGGGATCATCACAGCCTCCAGGAAACCACTCTGAGCCGCCTTCTCCGCCAGGACCTCACCGTGCCCTGAGCGCCCACCCCATGCTAACTGCCACTGAGTGCCCCCCACCCCGGCCTTCCCTTGATGCTAAATTGTTTGGGTTAACAATTTGCTTGTCATTAAAACGTATATGAAACCGGACGTTGGCCCATCTGCCTGTGCCCAAACACTGAGACCAAGCTCACCCTCCCTGCCCACTCCCTTTCCCCCCTACCCCACCCAAAGCCCCTCTCTGACAGGGTCGTCTGCCCCAGGTTCAACCCCGGGCAGAACTGGGCCCACACAGGAGCCAGGAGGATATCTGAATCCCAGGGCCGCCAAAGGAGGCTGTTCTGTTCATCTGTCACCAAATGTCCCTCGGATAGGCTCAAGGAGGCAGAAAAGAGCTGGAGGCAGGGCAGTCTGCTAAGACTAAATGGGGTGAAGAAAATTCATGACCCGCCATGGGGGAGCACCGGCCCACTGGATCGGTGAGAACCTCCGGCTGCAAGGGCAGGCTGTGCAGTGTTTAATGTTTGGGGAGAAACTGCTACAGAAAGGCGACAGCTCCCCAGCACATCACCACCAGGTTGGCTGCTTCCCAAAGTGGGAGCCTCCCGGGGGGACCATCTGCCAAGGACAGAGCCTGGTCAGGTGAGGAGCACAGAGCAGATGGAAGGATAAGTCAACCTACAGCCCACATGCTCATCCCAGAGAGGTTACCCCAACATCCCCCCAAGGAAACACCCATTATGGGCGGAGTGCCCTGGCCGGTGTGCAGGGGTTTATTATGGGCCCTGCATCAGGACCCCTGGAGACAGATTCAGGGTTGGTTACATGCAGGGGAAATGACACACTTCACATGCACAGATACAAGAAGACACGTGCTTCACTGGCACAGAGTCACAAATCTTTCAACTTTGGCACGAAAAATGCCACAGCCATGGCAGCTCTGGTCCTCAGAGCCTCTGGCTGCAGGCAGCACAAAGAGAGCCCCGTCCTCCCCCGGACCAATCCCACAGGGCCAGGGCTCCCCAGAGCAGGAGAGGCCAGTCCAGAGTCAGTGCCTCCTGTTCTGAGGAGGTGACCTCCTGTGCTGAGGTCACCTGGCCGGGGTCTGCGGCTCAGCTTACAAGTGGAGGCAGAATGGTGTCTCCAGTGTTGCAGGTGCTTTAATAGTTCGTCTGCAGAAAGCATGTTTGCCAAGTCACCAACCTTCAGCTTCTGTCTGCAGACTGGGAGGGGGCCTCTCTGGGTGGCCACAACAGAACAACACCCCCAGCCCAGGGTCCCCCAGCCCAGATGGTCCCTGTAGCCTTGCTCAAGCAGAACCTGCCAGACTCCACCTCTCATACCTGCTCTCCCCATGAAACCATCCTCTGATTTGGAGTTTTAGACAAGTCCTGGCAGCAGAAAGCTCAGGCCACCCCCACAGACACCTGGAGGCTTGTAAAAGTAATTGGGGATGCAAAGCAGCACCTGTCCCAACTGCCACCTTCCAAGGCCACTGGGACCCAAACAGGGCACAGAGTCCTGCCAGCTACAGAACCTCTGATGGAAGTCTAAAAGGAGGACTGGGAGGAGGAGCCTGAGGGGGACACAGGCACCCCTAGATGGGGCACGACAAAGCACTCCCCACATCACACACATGGGGCTGCTTCACACATGATGAAGTGGGCTGCAGTGGTCATGCAGCCCCCCAGGTCCTCCTGGCCACCTCACACACCTGAATGGCCACATCTGCAGTGCAATTGGTTGTTGTCCTCCTGGAGGAAACAGGCTCACTGAGAATCCTCTGAAGGGAGTGCCACTCTCAGGGCGAGTCTCACAGCCCAGAGATGTCTGCTGGGCTCTCCAGGCAGTGCCAAGCTCATCCAGCTGCCTCGAGGAGATGCCACAGGGCTCCATGATGACGGCACGCGGCACATGGGACTGCACAGCTGCTGTCACAATGCCAGGTGTGTGCCCAACAGAGCCAGGGGCAGCAAGGGAGAGGCCAGAAGAGTCCACAAAGCTTCAGAGTGTCAGCATGGCTCTGGCCCCATGTGCTCACAGATGAGTCCTTGCACCCCCTCCCCACCCTGCACTGGGAGGGCAGCTTCAGTATGACCCAGGTCGCAGGGGCAGCCCAAATGTTCTAACCTGTCCCATGGTGTCAGCAGGCCCTCTGAGGCCACAGGGAAGCCCACGGAGGCTGGTGATGCTCAGGTCATGTGTCAGCCTAGAGAGCAGTGACCTGGGTGAGCTCCGTGTTGGGTGTTGACGGACTCTGTGGGCTGACAGGCACCATGGGCAGGTCCACGCCTAGTCATGCAGGCCGCGGCACTGTCTCCGAGGTCTTGCAGGCGAGGGCCACATCCTTGGCAATGCTGCGCACACGATCTGACACCTGCGTCTCCCGGCGCAGGGCAGGGGCACAGCAGAACTTGCGGAAGCAGGCCTTGAAGTTTTCATCCAGGAAGGCATAGAGGATGGGATTGAGGCAGCTGTTGACATAGCCCAGGGCCGTGCAGAAACGCAGGATGGCCACTGCGGTCTCACTGCCTGGCTGAACGCCCAGCCCTTGGACCAATACGAAGACCTGGACAGGAGTCCAGCAGCCCACGAACACAGCCACCACCACCAGCACCAGTCGCGTGATGCGCCGCAGGTTCCTGTCCTTCTCCCGGGAGCCTGAGAGCAGGCGGACGCCGCGGAGCCGCCGGATCATGAGGCTGTAGCAGACAGAGATGATGAGCACGGGGATGATGAAGGAGAAGAGGAAGATGCAGACAGCGAACACGGGGCCCCAGTAGTCCTGCGGGGTGGGCATCTCCACCAGACACTCAATCTCTGCAGGGAGAGAAGCAGGGTCAGGGCAGGTGGCCAGGGAGCCAGGGGAGCATGGCACCACAGAAGGGGCCACCACTGACCTTCATCCTCAACCTGAGCTGAGCCCATGATGGCCACGGGAACGCCAACAACAGAGGCCAGGGCCCAGATGGCCACATTGACCGCCTGCGCCTTGCTGGACGTCCGGACATCAAGGGCGCGGATGGGGTGGCAGATGGCTACGTAGCGGTCCACGCTCATGGCGGTCAGCGTGAAGGTGCTGGTGAACATGTTGTAGTAGTCGATGGCGATGACTGTCTTGCACAGGGCGTTCCCAAATGGCCAGAAGCCCAGGAGGACATCTGTGCCCTGAAAGGGCAGGGTCAGCAGCACCAAAGTGTCCGCCAGGGCCAGATTAAAAATGTAAATGTTGGTAGCTGTCTTCATCTTGGTGTGTCTGCAGAGGACAGGGAGGAGGAAGGCTTCATGTGGCCACCCTGCTGGGCCTCCAGCAAAGGCCATCACGGGGGCACCCACTCTGACCCCTCATTAATATGTAGGCTCCTGGTCCCAGCCCAAGGACACGGAGCCTGAAGGCAAACATTTCAACAAATTCTTCACGTACTTCTGGGACACACAAAACGGTTCAAAACCTGAAGACTGGCCTGCCTTGGAAAAGATGGGTATGGCAGGTAGCAGAACATATGCCTGACCCTGCATGGAAGCAAAGAGGCAGGGCTCTTAAGACAAAAGAACCTGCCCTCCTCCCTTTCAAATATCTCTTAAGACCCTTTATGGACCAAAATGCTGGCCCTACCACTGCTAGAGGTTCCCAAGGGCTCCAGAATCTGTAAGAGCACAGCAAACCAGTCCTCCCTGCTATCTAGCAATGGAGACAGGAAGTGGTGACAGGGATGGGACGGGTGCTGATGGGGTCTGATTGTGTCTAAGAACCTGAAACAGGGCTGAGGAAATTGTGGGTGCTTAATAAATATCTGTTGGATTGTTAGTTGTGATGGTGGTGGTGGTGAGTGTTGGTACTGATAGTGGTGGTGGTAATGGTGGAGGTAAGCGGTGGTGGCAGTGATGGTAGGGGTCATGGCAGGGATGATAATGTTGGCGATGGTGGTAGTTTTGGTGGTGATAGTGTTGCAGGTGGTGGTGGAGGTGGACATGGTGGTGGTGATGATGGTGGTGATGGTGGTGGCAGAGGCAGTGGTGATGATGGTGGAGGTGATGATGGTAGTGGCGGTGGTGACTGTTGTGGTGATGATGGAGATGGTGGTGGTGATGATGATGGAGGTGGTGGTGATGGTGGTTATGAAGGTGATGGTGATAGTGATGATGATGATGAATGTGGCTGACCGTGGTGGTGGAGGTGGTGGTGATGGTGGAGGCGGTGATTGTTGTGATGATGGTGGAGACGGCGGTAGTAGTGATGGTGGTGGTTATGAAGGTGGTGGTGACAGTGATAATGATGATGATGATGATGAAGGTGGTGGGTAGTGGTGATGGTGGTGGTGGAGGTGGTGGTGATGGTGGAGGTGATGATGGTAGTCGTGGTTGTGATGACGATGGAAGTGGCGGTGATGGTGATGGTGATGGTGGAGGCAGTGGTGACGATGGTGGAGGTGATGGTGGTAGTGGCGGTGGTGACTGTTGTGGTGATGATGGAGATGGTGGTGGTGATGATGATGGAGGTGGTGGTGATGGTGGAGGCGGTGATGGTAGTGGTGGTGATTGTTGTGGTGATGGTGGTGATGGTGATGTTGGTGGTTATGAAGGTGGTGGTGATGGTGATAGTGATAATGATGATGAAGGTGGTGGTGGTGATGGCAGTGGCAATGCTAGAGATGACAGTATTCCATGTCAATTAAGCTGCCAGGAAGGAATCCACATTTTAGTTCTGCCTCTTAGGGAGGGACTAAGAATAAGCACAAAGAGGCCTTAATTATGACCCAGTAACAATGGCGGTGACAGTGGCAGATACCTGTGCTAAGCTCTTCACTTGGATTTTATCTCATTTAAGATTTCAAAAATGCTATTTTGATCCCCATTCCATGTAGGAGGACACTCAAGCTCAGAGGATCTAAGTGGCCTTCTCAGGGCCGTAGAGCGAGCAAAAAGCAGAGTGAGTGGATCAAGAGAACCAGAAGACCAGCCACAGATGGGAGAAGAGATTTGCCAAACACACATCGGACACGTGACTGCCACCTGGAACACACGAAGAACTCCTACTACTCAACAAGGAAACAAACAGCCTGCTTAAACATGGGCCAAAGACCTTAACAGACCCATCACCGAAGAAGATACAGAGGCGGCAAGTAAGTACATGAAAAGATGCTCCACATCGCGCAGCATCGGGGAAACACAAATGAAAACAACAACAAGGCACCACTACACACTTACTAGAATGGCCAAAATCCAGAACCCTGACAGCAGCAAGCACTGGTGAGGAGGGGGAGCAGCAAGCAACTGCCATCCATGACTAGTGGGAACGCAAAATGGTGCAGCCACTATGGAAGACTGTTTGCCAGTTTCTTACAAAATAGACTCTTACCAAAAGATCCAGCAATCATACTCCTTGGTATTTACCCAAAGGAGTTAAAAATTCATAGCCACATAAAAATCTGCACAGAGATGTTTACAGCAGCTTTATTGCCAAAACCCGGCAACAACCAAGATGTCCTCCAATAGGTTGATGGATAAACTTTCCATCCAGAAAATGGAATATTACTCAACAATAAAAAAATTTAACTAAGTGAGAGAAGCCAGCCTGAAAAGGCTAGATTGTGTGACTCCAACTATATGACGTTCTGGAAAAGGCAAAATTATGCAGACAGAAAAAAGATCACTGTTTGCCAGGGCCTGGGAATGGGGAAGTGTGCGCAGGCAGAGCACAGGGGATCTTCAGGCCAGTGAAACTGCTCTGTGTGACGCTGTAATTGTGGGTACGTGTCATTATACAGTTGTCAAAACCCACAGAATGTGCAACACCAAGAGAGAACCCTGATGTAAACTATGGACTTGGGGTGGCTGTGACAGTCAAGTGTAGGTTCATCAACTGTAAAACATGTCCTGTTCTGGTGGGAAGATTGATCATTGGGAAGACTGTGGAAGGCGGGGGGCAGGCAGCAAATGGGAAACCTCTGTACCTTCCCCTCAATTTTGCTGTGAACCTAAAACTGCTCTTCAAAAAAAAAAACCAGTCTTTAAACAAGAGCAGGGCTTGGAACTTGGGTGTTTCTGGTGCATGAGGCAGCCCACCCCAGTCCACTGGCTTGGAATACACTGTGCTGCCTCTCAGGCCAGTGTGGTCCCAGAGGCTGCTGCGCATTGTGCTCTCTGGGGACCACTTGTGGACAAGACCACCTCCCTGTCTGCTCTGATCCAAGACGTAACTCTGCCAGTTCTTTTTTTTTTTATGACTCTGCCAGTTCTGATGCCCCAGGGCAGAGGAGAGACACAGAGAAGCTCTAACAGCAGAAAGGATGAACAGAACCACCCCCAGTTGCTGTGTTTCTCACCCACAACACACCCTCCAACCACAAAGGGGCACATGAATCTAGTTCCCTGGGGGTCAGCACTGGGGAAGCGGCAGCTGCTCCTCCCAGCCCCTTGTCCAAACACATACATAATACACACCAACACATACACACAGACAAGTGCATGCTCACACGTGTACAGGCACATACACAGACACAAGTGCGTGTGTACATGCACACATATAGGTACACTGTGCAGTACACACTTACATGCCCACAGTGCACACACAGGCATGAACACATGTGCCCATGTGCACACATACGTGTTCATGCTCACACATTCGTGTACACACTCATATATATGTACAAACATGCACATACTCCATGCATTGTATGCATGCACACACAGGTCTGTTCAAGGTGCAGTGCACACTCACGTGTATGTACACACCCATACGTGCACACACTCCCACATGTGTGAACACATCCACGTCCACATTCACACGTGTGCGCGCACACATTTGTGTACACACAAATATGCACATGCTCACATCGTGCACACACATACCTGCACATGCATGCACACACATGCATGTCCCCGCTCTCTCCCCATGCTGTCTTACCATGTTGTCTCCCCTCTGTCCCCCAAGGTGTCCCCACACTGACCCACACTGTTCCCCTATAATGTTCCCCCCAACAGCCTGGCTGCCCCCCTCAACCCCACAAGCACTCCTATTCTGAGCACCAGCAAATGCTGGAATCAGCCCAGGTATTAGCAGAGAACACGAGTCCTGGAGCTGGAGGGAAGGGGACCTGCCCTGGCACCAGCCCTGGACAGACTGACAAGAGCTGCCTCTCGGGGTCGCTGTGGGACCAGTCAGATAACCATGCGGCAGCTTGGCGGGGAGCCTGGCCCACGGCTCAGACGGAACGTCATCTGTCAGCAGTCAGGGTGACGCTCCATTCTGGGACAGGGTGGCCCCTCCCCCAACCAAGTGCCCCACCCTGAGGAGCTGAGCAACCAGGGCTTCGGGCCTGACCCTGCCCAGCGCCAGGTTGCCCAGAATGGCCCCTGTGTCTTGCTTCCATTCCCCCTGTAGCTGGGGGCCAGCCTACCTGAGGATGACGTACATGACGAGACAGTTCCCCAGCAGCCCCCCGATGCACACAGCCAGGTAGAGCCCCACGATGGTGACCTTGAGTCCGAGGGGCAGGAAGGCACCATGGCTGGTATTGAGCAGCAGGTGGGGGGGCAGTAGGCTGTGGTTGGGGCTCAGGAGGGACAGGTTTCCCTGCAGGTGGCTGCTGTAGAGGACCTCCCAGAACGGAGCAGGGAAGAGGGACTCCATGCCACCGCTTGACATGCAGAGCCACCTGTACCTGGGAAGGCACAGGGACATGTGAGCACAGTGCCCAACACCCACCAGCCCCGGCCTCCAAGCTCAGTGTGCACGGCCCGGTGGCACACGCACCCCCAGACCGCCACATGCACAGGGACACAGGCGCATACCTGTGCACACACATACTGGGGCCATGGAGATAGGCAGATACATATATCCAGACAGGGACACACAAACAGAGGCATATGTGCACACACAGGGATACAGTCCCCTTCAGCTTGCAGGCTCCCACATGGGCTGTGTAGATGCAGTCACATACCAGGACACGTGTCCACCCACGGGGACTCGTGGACACACAGCCGTGCACATACACACACACACACGGATGCCCAAACCTGCCCTCATGCACATGCAGGCACGAAAAGGACCAACCAACGCATACCCAGAAACACCTGGAACCCAGGACACCCGGCACCTCCCCGCGCCTCCCCAGCCCTGCCTGGCCGCTGCAGCGCATCCTGGGTCACCTCCACGCCCACCCCAGCAGTTCCAGCCTTACCTCAGTAACCTCCGTGGGAGCAGAGACCAGGGGAACCCGAACCCACGGCTGGCTGGCCAGCAGGCCGGGGAGCCCCTCCCCGACTCAGCACCAGGTCTGACGGGACTGGGGACTGCGGCTGCAGCGGCAGTTGCTCCTCCTCAGTAGACGCCAGGCCAGACGCCGCAGCCTGGTGCACGGGGGAGGGGGAGGAGGCTGCAGCTCCAGAGGGGGAGGGGCCAACCAGGCTGGAGGAGGGGGCAGCAGGGACGGGGCGCCAGTCCTCAGGCGGCATGGGGACACACACGAGGACCAGGGCACACACTTAGAGAAGAACAGAGAGAGGCTTGGACCCACAGAGCCCGGACACAGGGACACAGATGCTCACAGGGACTCAAGACATGTGGACACAGACACTCACACAGGGACACACAGAAACACACAAAGACATGGGACAGGGACTCAGAGAGATACACACAGGACAGGCTGAGACAGACCGGAGCCACATCTCACACACAGACACGCAGACTTGGACGGACTCAGACCTGCCTGAGCTGGCATTCCGTGCCCAGAGCAGTGCCCCTCGGCTGGGCCCCAGGGAAGCTGAGCCACAGCAGGACAGCGGGTGGGTGGACACACAGCAAGGCCCCTGCCCAGCCCGCCCTAAGCAGATCAGAGCCTCGCAGTAAACAAGCAGGATGCTTGGGCTCTCCTGTGCACTGTGTGCCCACTGTGTGCCCCACGTGCCTTACTGTGTGCCAAGCCCATCCTGAGGATAAGCCCATCCAGCCCCACTACACTTCACCATTGCCATCAGCATCACCTCAGCGCCAACAAGATCATTAAGCCTCAGAGCTGTGAAGCCACATGTCATAGTGGCAGAGACAGGGTTCAAACCCAGGTCTCTCTGTCGCTTTGAGACACACCAGGGACATCTCTGCCCCAGAACAACTTCTGAGCCTCATTCCCTTACAGCCTGGGCCCCCAGCATCCATGCAGCTGAACAGAGAGCTGCCTCCTTCCCAGCACTGGGGTCACATGCCAAGTGGGTGACCCTGAGCTGAATCGCCAGCCCCACCCAGTCAAGGGGTCGTTTTTCCTGCACGCAGGCTCTGCCCACACAGCCCAGACCCTGCTCTGTGCATCTGTCTCCAAGGATGGAGACATTGTTGCTAGGCAACTGGCAGCAGCGTCGCTAGGATACCTGGCAAATCAAGAGAGGACAGAGCAGGCAGCTACCCTAGGACTCAGCATCCCAAGCTGTCCCCCAGGACTTATCTCTGCATCTACACTGCAGTCGACTCAGGGACACGTGGGGAGACACGAGGCACATCCACAGAAGGCACTCAGGACACAAAGACTCACATAACTGCAGACACACACAAAGATGCCCAAAGAGGCACAAGGATAAACACACAGTCAAAGTACATGCTCAGGAATGCAGACACTTGAAGGGATGCACAAAATCATGGGCCACACACATGCAGACACACCTAGGTGCATGTGAGGCACACAGGCAGCAGGCATGAGAGAGCAGGCAGACACACAGATCACAGACTCAGACACCCAGGGGACACAAACGTGCACCACATTCTCCAGGTGAAGATCGAAACCCCATTGCCTTGACCTCAGGAGCCCAGCGACCCAGGGAGGCTCACCCTCCCCCAGCCTCCCCAGGCTGGCTCCCCAAGGTCTGAGCAGCCAACCCCAGTCCCTCCAGCCCCCGCTGCCTGGGGGCAGCTTACTGAGCTAAGCTGTGTTTCCTAATGGCCTTCAGCTGCCTCCTAGCCCAGGCCTCAGTCTGAGGAAAAGCCTGGGCTAGAAGGCTGCTCTGAGGCTGGGTATGAGTTCTGGTCTGGACAGATCTCCTGTGAGGGCGCACTGGACGGAGCCAGCGCAGAGGATGCCCAGAGGCAGACACCTGGCCGCTCACAGGCAGTCTCAGCCCAAGGACAGGCCAGTGGGTGGCTAGGCCAGTGGGTGGTCAGGCCGGCATGCTGACTACACTCCCTGGGGATGGCAGCCACCCAGTCCTGGACCCTGGAGATTTCCCACAAAGGGGGCTGGCCAAGGAAATGGCCCAGGCCTCTCTCCACCCGGCACAGAAGGGTAAGACACAGAAAACATGGGTTACACATGGGTCAGCGGGGAACACGTGTGAGCACTTGTGTCAAAGCAAAACAACCTCAAACACACATGTCATATGCAGGCAAAGCAAAGCATGTGGGGTGCCAGGGCAGCCAAAGACACGTAGCTTATGGGAATGACAGGGCAGAGCACACGCCCACAAATTACGGTGAAAGTCACACAAGGGCTGCACTTGGAGGTCACAGGCATTTGGGGCAGGACACAGGGCCCTGAGGGCCGTTTACACTCACAGACTGCGCAGAACACACCTCACTCTTGCACCCAGTGACTCAGGGCCCATCAGGGCCAGATGGCAGGCTCGCACTGGCCCTCACTTCCTGGGGCAGGCCCGCTGTCTGGCCCCTTCAGTCTCCACACATTCCACCACCGCTGAGCCGGGCACAGGAGTCAAAGCATAGTCGTAGGTAGCTCACCCAGGACATCTATCCCCCAGGATATTCAGTCACCAGGCCAGCAGTGCTGCTAAAAAGTAAAATGATTTCCTCATAAAAAATTACTTTTTCCTTGTGATTTTAACTTCTTCTTATTTAAATACAGTGACAGAGAACTGAGTTGTAGATTTTCAACACAATGTTAAATTTTGCAGTCATTTAATAACACTTATTCATTTTACTTTGAAGTTTTATTTTCAGCCTTTGGCATCGATCATCATGCTTTTTAAAAAGATTTTTTTGTAATTGAAGTGCCATCAGTTACAATGTGCCAGTTTCTGGTGTCCAGCATCATGTCCCAATCCTGCATACACATACATATATTCATTTTCATATTCGTTTTCATTAAAGGTTATTACAAGATCAACGTGCTTTTAGACCTCAACATTTCCATCAGCCCTCGAAAATGAATCCTTAAAAAAAAACAAGTTTCTTCTGCACAGCACAGGGAATATAGATTCAATATCTTGTAATAACCTTTCATGAAAAAGGATATGAAAACAAATATGTGTATGTGTATGCATGACTGGGACATTGTGCTGTACACCAGAAACTGACACATTGTAACTGACTGCACTTCAATTAAAAAAAATTTTTTTTAAAAAAGAAAGAAAAAAAATAATAAAATGAATCCTGGACACAGAAACAGGTGAAGGACGTGGCCTGCTGTCTCACAGTGGCTGGGCCCAGACATGTGGGAGCACCTTCCTCCCAGGGGTGTGTGGAGAAGCAGAAAGAAACCAAGCCCAGGGAATGTGAGCTGTGTGGACACCAGGCCCTCTGGGAATTAGGGAGGAGAAGGTGTCAAAGGTTTTCAATCCTACAGAAGCAGAGGGAAAGTTACAAGTCCCCTCTTGCTGGAGACAATGCCCCCTAACCACTCCCCCACTGCCTATCCCTGTCCTGGGCCCTGGGGAAGCTCAGAGGAGGGCCCAGATCCCTGTCTTGTAGAACTCACTCATGTGGGAGCACAGAATTAGAGTCAGAGGTAGCCCCACCTGGAGCTGTGTAAATCCAGGAGGCCTGCCTGAAGGAGGTGACCCGCTAGATCATCCTTCCTAAGCCCTCACTGCTTCTTCTGGAGCCCAGAGACCTTTGTCTTCAACAAGCCCCTGAGGCTGATGCTAAACCTCAAGGCCCAGACCCACCCTAAAGGCACAAGCAGGGCAGGAAGGGGCAGCTCCTGCAAAGGCTTAGGGGCTGGAAGGATGACCAGTTCTACGCAGCTTCGGGAAGGCGGATGGCGTGCAGACTCCAGGGGCATGGAGGGCAGAGAGTCATAGCTTTCCCTCTCACCAGGAGGCCAGAACAAGCTTCCAAAAACAATGGGAACACTCAACAGCCTCTGTCCAGAAGGCCAGAACCTCAGCAGAGACCTCACCCCCAAAGCCAGGACAGTCCATCCTCCCAGGGGCTCAGGCCCTGAACCCCCAAAGCAGGCCATCCATGGATCCCAGCGCCCACACTGGCCCTCCAGCACATCCACTTATGAAGGGGAGTGAAATGTATGTACTGTGGGAGCCACCAGTACATGAATATTTCAATGCACTCAATGCACTAATTTTGGCCTAACATAAACTGTGGAATCAGTTCATGAATTAACGAATCTAGAATACAGTGACAAATGCATGAACAAATTAAAGAATTAACTAAGTGAATCCGTTATAAAATATTACAGCTAACTAACAAATGCACAAATCAATTACAGAAATCTAGGACCCAATACCCAGAGACTTAGGACTCATCAAAACCCAAGTCTGGTCTTGCACCACCCCTGGGACTCCAAACTTGCCCCAGAAGAGGTGAAGCGTCCTGAGTTCCGCTGTGGGAGGCCTCTTGGGCCATGCAGAGGGGAAAAGGGCTCACTCATGAAGGTCTCCTCATGATTGTGCCCCCTGACCCCAAAACTAGCCCCCAAAGACCTCTCCAGCCAGGAAGCTGGGCCCACAGAAGAGTGCATTTAGGCCTCCCCAGAAAGGAAAAAAGCATACCGGGCTGTAAGTTGTTGGTCACCTCCTTCCCAGTCCTTGACAGCCTGGGATGCCCCTGGCAGGTCATATGGCCTGGGACTTCTGGGCACAGCTCTGCCCATGTACCTCCGGAGGGGTCGCCGCACCCTGGCCGGCTTGGGGGAGGGGCAGGCTTCCTGGTTGCCCAGCAACCACATCAACAAGCCCCAGAGAGTCCCAGCTGAGTTGGAGGTTCAGACCCAGCAAGGCAGAAGGTAGGAAGGGTGTGCAGAAGGGAGGTGAGGGCCGGGCCCTTGGACCACTGCAGCCAAGGATGAGGCAGGGGAGGGAGTGGATGCTACCAGACACCCAGACTGTGGCTCTGCCTGTCCCACAGTGGGCCAGGACTCGGCCCAGGGTAGGGGTCAGGGATACTGTGGGAAAGGGGCCAGGAGAGGGAAAGAGCCCTGCAGGACTGAATTAGGACTTCTAGGGCAGTTTCCCTTTCCACCTCTTGGGCCCTATCCCCCTCTATCACCTCCTCCCCGGGCTCCCCTCTCCCTTACTCAGTCCAGTCCCAGCAGGGACAGGCTAGGAGGAGGACGTCTCCCCTGTAGCAAGCCAGCTGTCCATTTGGCTCTGAGCTCCCCCCCCACACACACGTGAGACCTCCCACAGACATACAAACTGACCCCCCACACACACACACACCCCTCCCAGAAAAGCATGAGTTCTCTGCCCAAGATATAATGAAGGCCCACCCGCTCCATCTCCAGCCCCTAACATCAAGACAGAGAGGCCTGGGGCCAACGCAGACCTGGGGGACTGAACACAGAGAGGGTCCCAGCATCGTGGGGAATTGTCCACCAAGCCTCACCCAGGGCAGTCTCAGCAGTCTCCACCCCTGGGTAGTGCTTGAGGTCAGCTCAGGGGTCTCAGCATTTTCTCAGTGGACAGAGAAACAGCTGGTGGGCAGGAAGGGAATTTCCAGTAACGGAGTGGATCAGAAAGTTCTAGCTGACAGCAGGAGTGATCGGGGGAGCTGAGTTGACCAGGACGTGTGCTAGGCTTGGGCAAAGGTGCAGAGGCCAGAGGTGCGGGGCCTAAGGCGGGCGGCAGGGAGTCCAGAGGGGCCAGAGCTGGAAGTCCGCGGTGGGGCCAGGTCAGGCCAAAGGAGCGGGCACAACGGACACCGCTCGGGCACCAACAGACATCCCCTTCCCTCGGAGGATGCAACCAACGCTGGCGCCGCCGCAGCAGCCGCGGGAGAAGGAGGCCGGGCGTAGGGGCCCGCGGGGGCGAGCGGGAAAGGGCGCGCAGGGCGCAGGGGCCGGTGAGAAGCGCGCCAAAGGGGCGGCCGCGGCGGAGCCCCCCAGGCTGGGCTGGGCCTTGACGCTGGAGGGGCTGGCGGCCATGGGCCCTGGGCAACGCCACAGCCACCAGCTCTTCGGCGACCTTTGCTTGAGGACGTGGG